TTAAAAAAGAGTTCTAAGTATATACATCTACTACATCATGATGGTTGCTAATTAGCTATAGCGTTTTGGTCTTGGGAGAGACAATAGAATGAAGCACATTAGGGAAAAGAATTCGCGCAGAGACTAGAAAATTGTGATGTTTGATATACAGTGTTTTTAGAGTCTTTCACCCTTTCTTTTATGTCCATTTTGAGTCGTTTATCGTATTTTAGTCCGTCTTTCGTGTCTTTCGAGTCGTGTTTTGAGTCTTGAGCAGGGGATAAGCGGTTGGAGCAGAATTGACGCGTTTTGGACCAGTTTCGGGCAAGGAAGTGGAATTTTAGCTGATGCAGAACATGGACCGATCGGTCCATCACCCAGACCGATCGATCCGACCGGACGGACATTCCAGGAACAAAACGATCGATCGGTCCTCACTTACGATCGATCGATCCTATCACCCGGACAAGATCCGGCGCCTAAAGACCGATCGGTCCATCTGTTAGACCGATCGGTCCATTCCAATTTCGGTTTCCTTAACCGGAGTTAACTTCTATTTTCTTCTGTAATGGGTATTAAAACCCAAAAAGACCTGTTTTTCATGGTACGTTTTTCACAGCAGTTTTTCTGAGTTTAGTCTTGTAAGCAACATCTGGGATAGAGATTGATCCTCTTAGACAATTTGGAGAAGATTTCTAAACCTTTTTCTTATTCTAATCTATTGAATCATGTTTCCTTTAAAATCTATTTGCTTTGTTTCGATTGTTATGTCTGAGTAGTCTCTAAATTGGGTTTTAGGGTTTCAAGTAGGAGAATTCAATGATTTGATAGATTAGATGTCTTAGGGAATTCTTAATCATTAGGTTCTTCAATTTACATGTTCTCAATGCTAGAATAGGATTGATCACCCTGTTTTAGAACTTAGGCTTTTATGTGTTTCAGAGATGTTCGATAAAATGCCTGAATGAATGTAAATTGAGCATTGTATTTCTAACCTGCGAGAGTTGATGTTAGAACGCTTTGTGAACCAAATGAACCTGTTTGATAGTGCAAATTTGGCTAGGAAATTACAAATGAGAGTTTAGTAATTGAATAGTTGGATTTAGTGATTAATGTCTTGAGAGAGAGTTAGTCTAAACTTCTGTTCATGTTCAAGAACGGTTCTTCATGTCTGAATTCCTTATTGCTTTTATTTGTTATTCATTGATTCTCTGAAAATACCCTGCAGCCCAATGTCTTTAATTCATAAGTTTAAATCTCTCTTTTATTTGCATTTTTATTTACAAAACTGAAAACCAAACAAAAACCCTTTCCGCTTTAGCTACGAACGAGTCTCGCAAGTCTTTAGTGTACCATTGCTCCTTGTGATCGATCCCGCATATACTTTACTTCGGTTAAGTTATCGGGTCAAATACTCGAGTAATCAATGTTTAGAAAAAATACTTTCACCCAAAAAAAAATGTTTCGTGTTTGACATAATCAAACTTTGACCTCCCAAAATAAATTTACTAAAAAAGAAAAAGGCTCACTATGGATCCCAAAGGTCAAATCATCTTCTTTAACCTTTTCTTATTTTTGCATATATATATTTTTAGCAAGCCCAAATAAATAAGCCCAATATTTAAGCCCACCAAATGTTTGAGCTTTCGAGATTTCAGGTGCTCTCTATTTTTACCCTAGCTAGCATTTCCTCTTCCACACACACAACTCCACTCATGGCGTCTCGGAGAGTTTTATCATCGCTGCTCCGTTCATCTTCCGGTAGATCTGCTGCCAAATTAGGAAATCGAAACCCTAGGCTTCCTTCTCCTTCACCAGCTCGTCACGCCGCTCCATGTAGCTACCTTCTCGGCCGCGTCGCCGAGTACGCGACCGCTTCTCCGGCAAGCTCAGCTAAGGATGCGCCATCGTCTGCTCCTGCTAAGGATGAGGGCAAGAAGACCTATGATTACGGTGGTAAAGGTGCGATCGGGCGTGTTTGCCAGGTCATTGGTGCCATTGTCGATGTGAGATTCGAGGATCAGGAAGGATTGCCTCCAATCATGACATCTCTCGAGGTCCAGGATCACCCCACCAGGCTTGTCCTTGAGGTTTCTCATCATTTGGGTCAAAATGTCGTCAGGACCATTGCTATGGATGGTACTGAGGGTCTCGTCCGTGGAAGGAAGGTTCTCAACACTGGCGCTCCAATTACTGTAAGTGCCTTCTGTGCGTAGATCCCTCCATCTCGTTCGTTGATCCGTATTATCAGCCATTGTTAGGTGTAGATCTGTGGATTCGTTGATTGGATTTTGCCCACTCTTTGTTCGTATTTCCTTATCCTCAACGTTGACCTTAATACTGTTATCTTCAAAAGAGTATTCATTTCCGAGGAACACAATGTCCTGCTGGTTTTTGTTAATTTGGATGCCTAATCATTTCTTTGATACCTCCCCATCTGTAAAATGTGTACGTTGCAGTAACAAAAATATGACTTTTGGCTTGTTTTCACTTAAGGTCCCTGTTGGAAGAGCTACTCTAGGACGTATTATGAATGTTCTTGGAGAGCCCATTGACGAGAGAGGCGAAATTAGTAAGAAGTCTTAGCCACACACTTAATCAATGTCTCTCTTTCTGCAAACCTGTCGTGACAATATCTTCTTGCTCTTGCTCAGAGACCGACCATTACCTACCTATTCACAGAGATGCTCCAGCTTTGGTTGATCTAGCCACTGGGCAAGAGATCCTGGCCACTGGTATTAAGGTAGATACTGGACCCTAACTCCTCGTTGTATTCACAGGTCACATGTGTTGTCGTTCAATTTTTGAGGTGTTGACCTCCTTTCTTTCTTTCCAGGTTGTTGATCTCCTTGCTCCTTACCAAAGAGGAGGAAAGATTGGTCTCTTTGGCGGTGCTGGTGTTGGAAAAACTGTGCTTATCATGGAGCTGATCAATAATGTTGCCAAAGCTCATGGTCTGTATTGCATAAGTAGTTGTTATCCTATTAGTCGTTTCTATTTATTAATTGGTGTGTCTTCTTGTGAACAGGTGGTTTCTCTGTGTTTGCTGGGGTGGGAGAACGAACTCGTGAGGGCAATGACTTGTACAGAGAAATGATTGAGAGTGGTGTCATCAAGCTAGGCGAGAAGCAGGTTTTCATCTAAATGTGTTTAAGCTTCATCATTATTTTTGCGTACAGTTGGCATTGATTTTGTTGCTCCATTCTCTGTTTTCCTGTCTTAACAGTCTGAGAGCAAATGTGCTCTTGTGTACGGACAAATGAATGAGCCCCCGGGTGCTCGTGCCCGTGTTGGACTGACTGGTTTGACTGTTGCCGAGTATTTCCGTGATGCTGAAGGCCAAGATGTCTTGCTTTTCATTGACAACATTTTCCGTTTCACTCAGGTTAGCCTTGTTCGTTGCTGTGTCTATTACTCAACACTTATGTGCCATATATGTATGCATATGTTATGTATTTAATTCGGTATACTCTCTTGTGCAGGCCAACTCTGAAGTGTCTGCTTTGCTTGGACGTATCCCATCTGCTGTGGGTTACCAGCCAACTCTGGCTTCTGATCTCGGTGCTCTTCAAGAGCGAATTACAACCACCAAGAAAGGGTCTATCACCTCAGTCCAAGCCATCTATGTCCCTGCTGATGATTTGACAGATCCTGCTCCTGCCACAACTTTTGCTCACTTGGACGCCACAACCGTGTTGTCAAGACAGGTGTGAAGTTGTCTCTTCTAGATATTTATTTTTGAAGATTTCTTTGTAGTGCTCATAAAGCTGATACTTTTATGCTCATCTCTTTCCCATCTGAAGATTTCTGAGCTAGGTATCTATCCTGCTGTGGATCCTTTGGATTCGACATCCCGTATGCTCTCGCCTCACATATTGGGTGAGGAGCACTACAACACAGCTCGTGGTGTGCAGAAGGTGCTACAGAACTACAAGAATTTACAAGATATTATTGCCATTTTGGGAATGGATGAGCTAAGTGAAGATGACAAGTTGACTGTTGCCCGTGCCCGTAAGATCCAGAGATTCTTGAGTCAGCCTTTCCACGTTGCTGAAATCTTCACTGGTGCCCCTGGAAAATACGTCGATCTCAAGGAAAACATCAACAGTTTCCAGGTATATATATTGATTTTCTAAGTTCAGATGATGACTTCCTTCCTTGCTCCGTGATTATTCATTATATGTGTGCTTATATGAACTGTAAATTGTCGCAGGGTCTACTCGACGGTAAGTATGATGATCTTCCTGAACAATCATTTTACATGGTTGGTGGCATCGACGAGGTGGTGGCAAAGGCAGAGAAGATCTCCAAGGAATCAGCAGCTTAAGGGATTGATTTCATTTCTTTCATGTGCTTAATACTTCTCTTCTTCTTTTGTTGACAATAACGAAAAAAAACAAGAGCAATGCTTCAGGGCTGTTCTGCTGATGCATTGCTATCATTATGAGTGTGAGAAATAGTACGGAGAAAACAGATTCATTCGTCAGAGTTTTTGACTTGGAATAAAGGAGACAAGTGTTCATGTTTTCAATCTCGCCACATTTGTATTCAAGTTTTTTGAAGGAAAGTGATTTACAGTATTAAATGTTTTGCTGTTCAAAGTACTCAGGCTCAGTTGACAAGAAGTGATAGAAACTCAGTGTTGGATTCGCACTCTTTTATTCGTCTTCTGTATAATATCATATACCCTTATTTTATTCTTACAAAGTCGGAACCGCAAGGTTCTCTCTATAGAGTTGATTCCGATGTACAATCCCCTCATCAACTACAAAACAATGTGATTGAACTCAGAGAATGTGATTGATGTGTTTCAGCTATATGCTCCTCGTTTTGGTCTTCTCTGTCACAGAATGATTCTAAGGAAATTTGAAGTAGTTTCTACGTCTCAAGCATGGTAAGCAATGAAAAAGAGTTTTTTACGCTCAGTCACTAACGAGCTTATAACTTCAAGGATGAAGATGGAGACAGAGATGAGAAAAGATGGAAATTTTTAGTGAAGACTGTTTTGAGCACTAAGAGGATTGGAGGATCTACATACTTTTTGCAGGCAATTGATGTTTACTTTATGACATTATTTTATCGCTTATCGATACAAAATTGCATATTTATACATGTATATAGGTCACAGATTCTTTGTAAAGATAGATCCGATATTCAGAATTCAGTGTCTGAAAACAACCTCTCTTCCAAACCTAAGGTCCAATCTTTTAGCTCTTACAAGCCCATCCCAAACCGGCCCGGTCTATCCTGACAAGGAGAAATATAGAGAGTTTTCTCTTCAATGTTCTTCATCAGCAATAGTTAAAGTTGATAGAGAAGCTTCAACTGTTTCTCTTCCCTCCAACACATTTTGAGTTTGAGTTTCCTCCATTTTCTGCAAAACCAGATTTGCCTAGTAAGCACGCTGATACTTACACAATCCTTTAATCTCTCTTTACCGAAAAGTACCAGAACATACCTTGTTATTTAAACGATGAGTGGCCATTAGCTCATAGAGTTTACGCATCATCATCTCATGTTCAACCTGCAGACAAATATAAATTCACCGGTTTAATGATCCAGATCTTTAATTACATGACAACAGGCACATTAAAAAAGAGTTTCATAATTCATAATACCTCGAGTATTTGGAGTTCTTCTGACATGGTCTTATGAGCTTCTTTGAGTAACTCACTCTGCTTCTCCAAATGCCTTTTTGACAATAAAAAAAAGACGAATCAGTTAACAACACGTAATTAAATATACAGATTATGAGTGAACAAAGACACTGCATAATGATAATTACTTCAACAAAGCACCGGTATGTTGCGGGTCCATCCTCACAAATGATTGAGCTCTCCTGAAATCAGAATGCTGTTGATCTTGACCTCGTTGTGATCGTTTAGGTACTCTATAAAATTAAATCAAAAGTAAAATCCGATCAGTGACACAATAACTTATACCCACAATCTCCCTAACATCACAGTTTCATTATAATATTCCACAGTCAAGATAGACAACATCTGATCAGGGCGTAATCTGGACATGAAAAGAAGAGATTTGAATTCACTGCTTAACTATACAAGTAACTGTGTAAAGAAGAATCAGATAACAGTTGATCAAAAAGAAGACTCTCTACCGCCACAAAAAACGCATCTCTTGATGAATTTCAAAGGACGAAAAAACAAACACACGCAGAGGAAAAGATTAAAGAGACAGAGAAAAATCCAAATAGTTAGAGAACAAACAACAGGGACAAGACATAAAAGTTTCTTGTTTCGAAACAAAACAAAAAAGAAAAGTGGTTCTAGGAAAAGGAACACCTGACTTAGACAATTCATCGAGCACTTAGTGCGCAAAACCTAAAAACACTCTTCCATCACAATCCACCGATATCTTCAACACTTTGCAGATAATAAAGAACAAAACCCACTAATCATCTCATCGCAATTCAAGATTCTTCACCCTCAAAGTCCCAAATTCTAAACCCTAATTTATCCACGGATAAAAAAGGATACGAGAAATCTGAAAAGCAAATCTTATGAATTGGATCAAACAAACCTTACCTGAAAATAATCTATGTGGATCGTAGAACAATCGCTGTGCACGAGAGCGAAATCACACGAAGAAGAAGATCGATTTGGGGATTTCACTTTTTTAATTTTCTCGATTTTGAGAAAAAGGAGAGAAAATTGCCTCTTTTTATACCTCTCGCTCTCCACACACACTTGTTGCCGCCAAGAAGCAAAGCCTCTCTCACCGCCAGAAGATTCCTCTTTCCTTTTTTTTGGTTTTTTTTTACTATAAATGAATAAATATAAAAATGGAAATTTTTTAAAAAAATCACATAAATTTTTATTTTTTGGGTGCAATCCAAAAATATGTTTATGTACTTAGCATTAAGTATTTTGGTTTTTGACATGGGTTTCATTTTATTCTGAAACGAGCAAAAAAAGATGCTAATATGTTATTGGTGTTATTAGCCTCAGTGAATTGTTTGCATGCAAATGACATTCAAAACTTGATTTATAATTTTATACATTATGTAGTATTGTTGTCCTTGCCCATCAATTTTTTTATCAGCTCAGCATGCATATAGCATATTTGCATATTGGAATCCCATAACTTTCTCTGTTTGTCCGTATTTATTCTGTCATTTTCACACGATCGAAAGAGCAAGAAAAAAACAAAGCCAAAGTAATTTCCAATACAAAATGATGCTACATAGTAATATATTGTACACCTTTTTCTTGTAATGTCAACTTAAGCAATAGGAGAGGACCAGAGGAGAACTCAAAACCAATTAACACCAATATCGTGGAATTCGACTGATGACATGAAAACTAAAGTGGAGTTTGACAGCCTAAACCTTTTGATACACATATATATAAATATATACTAGACACTCGACAACACTAAAACAACGGTGTTAATTTACAATATCTTTACTATCACAGATGGTGCGGTTGAGAACAAAGTTAGTATCGAAAATGATTTACATGGATTACATATGAGTATGATCGATCACTTTAATACGAAATAATATAGAATACTAAGGAGATTTGGGAAAAGAGAAGAGATAAAGGCTGGCTGAAAAGGGGGATGCATGGACCATATGTTTTGGTGGTTCCCATAATCACACGAGTACTCTCGTCCATATTGTGTTATTAGGTAACATGTAGCTTTCGACTTTCCTATCCTCGTTCAATACTTTGGGAAATAAATTTCTGATAAGAATTTATGCTAGTTCTAATCATTACATTTGATCAACATTACTAGTATAAGAAATTACACAACCGAAGTAAATTATGATATAGGAGATCAAAGTTTGTAAGAAAAACCATACCCACTTGTATGTATTTGCGAAAAACAATTAGTGTATTAATTATATCGCTTATATTTCATTTTTCACATTGATTAAAACTATTGCATGCATATTGAAATAAACTATATTCCCTCCCGTCCCTCAGTTCCACATAGTATGATGTTTTATGGTTTTTTTTATTATTTCTCAAAAATTGATATTATAGATTAAAAAACTAAAAGTATATCTTTACTTTATATTTTTTAACACATAGCAGTTATCTAGTGGTTAAAAAATTTTATTTCTACAAAAAAACAATTATAACTTAATTCATAAACAAATACTTAATTGTATCTTATGTGTGGAAAACTAAATATCAATCTTTTTAAAACGAGAGAGTATAATATTTAAAACGTTTAAATCTTTAAATACACAAAAGTGCATATTAAGACTTAAAGAGAATCATCATTAGCTCTTGCCTCTTGTTCGTAATTCTGATTTGATATATTAGTTAATTTTGTGCAATTTGAAGTTTATGCCACTTGCTAAGCAAATCTTAGGCCATGTGGTTTGCTATAAATCACACGAATATTTCTTAGAAAATCCCTATGATTTTATCTATTAACTCTTGTACATTATATTTAGACTCAATATCAAGATTCGATCAAATGGTTTGCGACTATGCACTAAAGAAGACTCAACACAGCTTTTGTCGACATGTACATGTCAAAATTAAGACTATTGCAGTATTACTCACCATCTTAATATCTTAAAATTTTACTTGTCGACTGAAATATTCATGATTTTTTTTTTTATCATGCAACTATACATATTCATGATGACGTCGAAAGATTTACTTTAGCAAACCACCTTGCAAGTTTCAGAAGTAGTAGAATCGAATCTGATATCAAGGACAACAAACAAATAAAAATAAAGTAGAATTCGAAGAGGCAAATCTATGGGATAATGTGAATAGATTCGCGGGATGTATAAAAACCATGTGAAAGATGAAAGAGCAATGAATCGACTTGAATAACTTCTTAAGCTAGCCTTGCATTCATTGGATTCTTATTGGCTGCCCACATGCAATCGCAGCATTTGGCATCTAATCTTTAGTGTATTAATCTTTGAGGATCTACAAAATTAAAAACTTGGAAGTGAATCTAATCGAAAATATTTTCTGCAACAACCCAAAATGAAAACATATCTTTAGGTCCAAATAGGTTTCGAAACTCTTTTGACTTTATTATTTATCAATATACATGTTTGACTCACAATTTCACACGAGTATACTTGTATAAACTATGTTACAATGGTCCTATCGTATCATAAGTTTCACACAATGGGAGAAATTGGTTTTAGTTAAGGAAACTTACCAGAAGAGAATATGAAACTAAATAAATATTTTAAATAATTAGATAAGTTATATATAAAATTGTAAATAATGAAAAAAAAGCAGAGAGTAAAATAGAAAAAAGAAGGAAAAAGAGAGAGAGATAATGAAAAGGAAAGGAGAAAACATATCCTGAAAAGAAGGTAAGTTTGTCTGAAGAGAAGGGGGCACACCAAGTAAGTGCTTTGTCAGATTTCGCGTGCATTCTTCTTTCTTCTTCTCTCTTTCATTTCAGTCTTTGGCTCCTTCCTCTTCTTTTCTTTAATCTTCTCGATTTCATTGAAGAAAGCATCGATTTTTATAGCGAAAGGTCACTGTTTTATCGTCTAAAGTTAGAATCTTTTTATCTGGGTCGTGCTTAACTCGAAGAGACGAGGAAAAGGCTTCTCTGATTTTTTTTGTTTTTTTTTTGGTTCGTAGCGCATTTTGCGTTCTTGGGTTTAAAGTTGAAGAACAACAACAACAGCTCATTATACTTTTCATATTTTCTCATTTCTGTGTGGGGCTCTTTCTTTTGTACACACAGAGATAGAGATTGAGATTGAGATTGAGAGAGAGAGAGAGAGAGAGAGAGAGAAGAGCGAGATTATATAGCAATTAGATATTTCTTCTAGCTAGTGGTGTTGGCTCATGATTAAGAGAAGAAGCTTCAAAACAAAGAAAAAACTGAAACTTTTGGCTTCGGAGGAAGACTAAGAAGTAAAGGTATTATAAACTGTTCTTTTTTCTATTACAGTTGCAAATTTACAAGTGTTTTGTGTTCTTTTTGTATTGAAGTGTTGCAATTGAGGATAGGGCTTTGAAGAATTCGAATCGATTCTTGATGTAAAAAGAACTCTTTTTATATTTATTTATGTATAAAGTTTTAGTCCTGTTGTACCATAAACGACCTTCTCTGCCATTAATGTCAAGTTTTGTATTCGTTAGATTCTTTTTTAGCAAACATCCAAAAAAGATTTGATTCATCTTGTCTATTGAATAAGTGGCAATCTTCAATTTTCCTCTGTTTTTTCTTGATTCTTTGCAGGTTTTACTATTCTAAACGACGACGACACTTTTGCAATCACCACCACAAAAAGATTCAAGCTTTGGATTCGTCTGTCTCTAACAAAGTTTCTCACACAGTGGACGACTTAAAAAATAAGAGATAAAAAAAAGGGTTTCACGTGTTTCTGTGTTTGTGAATGTGTGAAGCACTTAGAAAACAGAGAAAAGAATTTGGTTATTAAAAAAAGGGTTTATCTCTGTGTATGTGTGTCAGTAAATTCGAGCTTTGAGTGGGTGTTTTGTGCATCTCTAAGTTTTTTATCTTTTCTATAATTATTTTTTCTCTTTTTCTTTATTCAATGTTCTCTTTGAGATGTGAGACTCCTCCATTAACATTGTTTCCTTAAGTCTCTGACTCGAGAAGCTTTTTTGGGAGAGTGAAAATACAGTCTTTAAGTCTTTTCTCTCTTGAGAGCTCTTCTATTAGATTATTTCATCATGAAGTTCATGAAACTTGGATCCAAACCTGATTCCTTTCAATCTGAAGGAGACAATGCTAGGTTTGTGTTTCAATCTTTACCTTTTCTCTTTTGGTTCTTGGTTATTACAATGTTAGTTTTGTCTGAAATTCAGTTTATAAATTGTAAATGTCAACAAAATAGTTTCGCTTTTAGATCTTGTTATTTGTTTATCCTGACAATTTACTTTGTTGATCTTTGGTTCTTAAAGGTATGTAGCAAGTGAGTTAGCAACAGATGTTATTGTCATCATTGGGGATGTCAAATTCTATCTTCACAAGGTAAAACACTTATAATATTAAACTCTTGCCTAATAGAGAAAGATTCAATGTTTTGTGTATCCTATATTCTCAATATGTAACTTTGACTGATCAATTTTTTCATGTTATCTGTTTTGATACTTTCAGTTTCCGTTGCTGTCCAAAAGCGCAAGGCTGCAGAAGCTAATCACAACATCATCATCATCGTCATCAAATGAAGATGATCAGATTCATCATCATGAAGATGAGATTGAAATAACAGATATTCCTGGTGGTCCTGCTTCATTTGAGATCTGTGCTAAATTCTGTTATGGCATGACAGTTACTCTAAACGCTTACAACGTAGTCGCTGCTCGCTGCGCCGCTGAGTTTCTTGAAATGTATGAAACCGTAGAAAAAGGGAATCTTGTTTACAAGATTGAAGTTTTCTTGAACTCGAGCATACTCCAAAGCTGGAAAGATTCGATCATCGTGCTTCAGACCACGAGAGCTCTGTCTCCATACTCTGAAGAGCTGAAGCTAACCGGGCGTTGTCTCGACTCTATCGCCTCTAGAGCTTCGATTGATACATCTAAAGTCGAGTGGTCTTATACTTACAGCAAGAAGAAGAATCTTGACAATGGAATGAGGAAACCGCAGGCAGTTCCTAGAGATTGGTGGGTTGAGGATCTTTGTGATCTTCATATCGATTTGTATAAACGAGCAATCGCTACAATCGAAGCAAGAGGGAACGTTTCAGCAGATGTTATTGGAGAAGCATTGCACGCGTATGCAATTAGAAGGATTCCTGGATTCAGCAAAAGCAGTTCTGTACAGATCACTGACTTTGCAAAGTACAGAGCTTTGGCTGATTCGATCATTGAGCTGATTCCTGATGAGAAACGCAGTGTTTCTTCGAGTTTCTTGACTAAGTTATTGCGAGCTTCGATCTTCCTTGGTTGTGACGAAGTAACCGGGTTAAAGAACAGGGTCGGCGAGAGGTTAGATGAGGCGAATTTGGGTGATGTTTTGCTCTATGATGTTGAGTTGATGCACAGCTTAGTTGAGGTTTTCTTGAAATCCCGTGACCCGAGAGAGGATGATTTAACCGCGAAAGCATCAGTTGCAAAACTTGTTGATGGTTATTTAGCTGAAAAATCGAGGGATTCAGATAACTTGCCTCTTCAGAAGTTCCTCTCACTCGCGGATATGGTCTCGAGCTTCCCGAGACAGTCTCATGACGGAGTTTATCGCGCAATCGACATGTTTCTTAAGGTAAAAGAACCAACTCTGTCTAAACATAGTTTCATACAGTGATCTTACTAGCAATGCCTAATCCAGTCTTTTGGTCTGCATTCCTTGTACATTTTTTGCTATCAACTATTGGTTCAGACTTTTCGTCAGTTTATTTGCTTTTTAGCTCGGTTTTAAGATAACAGCTTCGTAGAAGTTTGAACGCATCTAATAAGAGATTTGTGTAAAATCAAGATTTGGTGAAGTTACTAATCAAGATTCTGCTTCCCTGATATTATCTCTGATCAGGAACATCCGGAGATGAACAAGAGCGAGAAGAAGAGAATCTGCAGGCTAATGGACTGTAGGAAGCTATCAGCAGAAGCATGCGCACACGCAGTTCAAAACGAGCGATTACCAATGCGTGTGGTGGTGCAAGTGCTCTTCTTTGAACAAGTAAGAGCCAACAACAACGGTTCGTCATCTACAGGAAACAGTACGCCAGAGATAATTCCGGCTTCAAGATCGACAAACACTACTGATCAAGAAGACACAGAGTGTTGGGACACAGAGGATATCAAAGCTTTGAGAGGTGAATTAGCAAATCTAAGACTCGCAAAGAACCAACAAGAGAACAACAATAACAACAAAGGTAAACTGATGAAAGGAGGAGGGCTGGGAGTTTCAAGAGTGTTCTCGAAGCTTTGGTCTGGTAAAGAGAGAAGTGGAGAAATGATGAGTAGCTCAGGGACTTCGAGTCCTGGTTCTATTAATGATGACTCAAAGTCTTCTTCTTCCACAAGCAAGAAACATTAGTAGGAGAAGAAGCAAGAAGTAAGAAAGAAGATGAATTAGGTTTGCTAAAAAAAATGTTCATCCAGTCACTAACTTATTTGCTCTTTCTCAGATGTTACCATTTTCTTCCCTTTGTGATGTTCTTCCTTAGTAGGTTACGTCTTTTTCTGTTTTTTTTTACTTTTGTTGTCACTTTAAAATGGAAGTGTTTTAAAAATGGAAATGGTTCTTGAAATAATAATAAAAAGGAGAATTTAGATCTAAAATCTCTTAAAAGTTAAACATAGTGTTGACTATATTACAATATCAGATATGTAACTTGTTGATGAACAAAGCCACAAATTTTCAAAATTAATTTAATAATAGACAATTAAAAAAGGAATAGAAACCAAAATAATTTTTGGCAAGGCTCAAGTCGACTTTATTTTTGGACTTGCGTACGGACAATTATCCAGATTTATGGACTGAGGCCCAAGTCGTTATGTTGAACTCTCGTAAGACATTTTTTCTGCATATAAAACCTATATTGTACGTAAGAAAACTAAAATAACGATCGCATTAACAAAATAAAATAAAAATCGAATTAAAAACTAAAATAAATTAAATCTTTTTTATATTTTGGTCAGACATTATCTATTTGGAAGCTCCTTTGGAAGCTCCTTAAAATATTTAGATAAATGACAAAAAGCAGAAAAAAAAAAAAAAAAATAAAGAACAAAAAGCAGGAGGACGCTTTTTTAAAACCGTCGTTTAGTTAAAGTGAGAAGAGAAGAGAAGTGAACAAGTTTGGTCCTGAGTAAATCCCATAATTTTAGACCGACACAGCAAATATTTTACTTTTAATTTGACTTACCACCACCGTCATTGTGCTTAAAATCTTCTTCGTCGTTTCCTTTTCTTTTATTTTTCATTTTTTAAATTACATCTATATACATATATTACAATTAAGTTATATATATATATATATAGGTTTTGGACAGCAATATATATTTAGATATTGGTTCACTAATGTTACATCATTTTCCTAACGGACGCACTCGCATAATGAAATATTCCATTCGAATAAACAAATATCACGCCCGTATTTTTGTGGGGGATGGCTTGAGAATGAGATGTTTCGGTGTTGTTGTTGAACACGCTCACATTTTCCTTACAATTCCTAATTCATATTTCTCAATATAAATATAATTGATGATATATAGATTCTGAATGTTAAAAATATCTATTACATAATCGACCATAGATCAGTTTAGCTAAGTTCTCATGATTATTTTTGTTTGTTTCTTTACCCTAAATGTTATTATCCATCCCATCCTAGTGCTTTTGTGGCCTCACGAGTCACGTCTATATATGGATCATTGATTCGATTCAGAAGTTACAACCTTTATTAAAATGTTGATTAAACACTCTCTTTTTTTGGATGCTAGTGCTTTAGAGGATCCTTGAGATTCACATGATCGTCTACTTGGGAACTCCGTGAATACTATAACCTAACTTCCATATTCGATTTTCTTTTATTAGCTTAACCAATTAAACTTTATATGTGGCATTTATATAATTGGATCCAACACCATTTTCACTGATTGATCCTAACCTCATATGTGGGATATTCTCTCATGAGTTTTAGTATCACATTCATTTTTCACTTATGTATTGCCAAGAACTACAAAATTGTAACAAACAAACAAACCTACGGTCAACATACACACACATGTACACCAATCGTTGTAACATAAATGTAATCCACAATCCACAAAGGCAACGTATTATTACCCCTCGATCAAAGTGATGATCCACATGTCTTGTAATGAGATGATCAAATATACCTTATAGTATAAACCTTTCCCTGACTCGATCGGTGCTCTCGGCTCGACAATACCTCTTTCGGACAAGGACACGTTCTCAAACCCGATTCAAAGGTTTCATCATGCTATAGCTTTTTTGCTACCGCAAACCAACAAAAGAAACATATAAATCTATCAGTTGAACATCTTTGGGACCATATTTGGAGTAAAAAGTGTGGTCCTTGACATTGAGATGCATGTCATTTACACGTAGGATTGGGCGATATCAAAAAAGGTGTGTCCATCCTCCAATATCACAATCAATATGATCGAACTCGAATTAGCAAAGTACTAAGATCCAAAATACCCACCTACTAAAAAGAACAACTAAACTAATACAGTATATACATATATCATATATTATTCACTCCCATTTGCATAATTTGTTATCTCATCTTCACAGTTTCGTCTTAAGTCTTTAAACAAAGAACAACTTACATCATAATACGATTTCCATAAGTGCGTTCATGTAATTTTCTTTATTTAAAAAAATTAATAATTATCAGGTCGGCGTTTCAGTTTGGCCAGAGAAAAAGTATCTTTATAAAGCTAGATCCATTTACAAGACAAGAAGACACAAACCCAAAAGTAGGAGATATTGCCTCTTACCACTAATTTAACACCCACAAAACACAAAAACAAAAAAAAAAAAAAAAAAGATAAAACCTAAGAACAATAGAAAGATTAATAATAATTCTAAAAACTAAACGACCCCATCATCAAGATATCTAAACAACTTAGAACTAAAGTCACTAATTTGACATTAAAAGAAAACTATAGGGTTAAATAAAAAGTGAAGTTTAAAATTCTCTAGGGTCTACAAAAATAGAAACGCCAGGTGGCGATTTGGTCCAGTCACCAATAACGCCGTCAGTGTAGTCTTCCCCAAGCCGTTTAACACACCAAAGATCCTCGGCGCACGACAGCACTTTCCAATGCGGTATCCCTCGCCGCAACGGCTCTTCTCCGGCTACTTCCGTCGCAACTACACCGCATCCTCCTTCCTTGGCCAGGTTATGCGCGTGAGCACACAACGACCTCACCATCTTCACCGCGCGTGGACCTTCCCCTCCGATCCCGTACATGAAGTGAAGCCCAAACGGCTCGAAAACACAAGGAATCGAAGGGAGTTTCAAAAACGGCAGCGTTTTATCGACCACCCTAGTCGTTTTAGCCAGCACGCGCCTCAGCCTCGACGCGCCGCGAACCTCCAACCGAAAAGAGTCTTTACAGTTCCACACGCTCAACACGGCCCATGACTCGGGTGGGTACTCGAGGAACTTAGCCGAACCGGGCCATGCTCCAGACCCGGATCCATAACAGCTTCCACGTGGCACTGCTACAAAAGTCCCGAGCGAGAGTTTGTTATTCAGAACCGAATCGATATCCCGCGGGAAAAACTCGGTTGTACTAAACCGGAGTCGGTACAACGTCTCAGCATCGACCGGGTCTAATTTAATCACCGTGACTCTTCGCGATATATTAACCCGATGAGCGTAAACCGGATTAACCAAAATCGACGGCGTACGGAACTCAGAGTAACCACATTTCCCGGTGAAGAGATTAACCGAAGCTTGGTTGTCGTTTTCAGTAGCAATGTAAGAGTATTCAGCACCGTTTTGTCTGAACCATTCCTCCATCATCTTCACCAGCTTAAAACCAATCCCTTGTCTCCTGTAATAAACCAAACCAAAACTAATGGTTTTAGTTAAACATTCTAATCATTTACTTGCGTGATTAGTGTTTTGAAGGGGAGAGAACAGAACGGAACGGTACCTGTGAAAAGGAGAGACACGAAGGCCCAAAACGTAAGCGAGTTTAGTGTAAAGAGGCTTGACGACGGCGTCGTTTTGTGACTTGTGATTTAAATCGAGCTTTTTGCCACATGTAACGGTCTTGATGCATCCTCTAATCATCCCCACAATCTCCTTCTTCTCCGTACCCATCTCAGCCACCTGTTAATTTTTTTCCGTTATTATTTGTTTTGTTTAAATAATTACTATAAGAAAGTTTCTAACTTTATTTGGTTAGTAGTTATTTAGTTGAGAAATAAATACTATAAATGATGAGTCTTTTGATCTTATCAAGAGTCGACGAAAAATAGAAATGATACTCACAAAAGGAACGAACTTTATTTAAATATATGGAATCGGGGTTTTCGGATAAATCAAAGGTTGAGAAGTTTTTGTTACTTTGAACCAAAAAAAAAGAGAAGTTATTCTTACTATTCTTTGTTTTTCTCCTTTTAAGGGTTTTTTTAAAAAAAAACAGAGGTTTTGGGTTTAAAGAATCGGACAAAGGAAGAAGAAGAGACACAAGTAAAAAAAGACCAGGAAAAAAGAAAAAGATTGAGAAATTACCAGCATGAGATAGGAAGGTGAATGTCGGATCCTACAAATCGGGTCACCCAAAAGGTCGGTGAAAAGAGAAAGCTTGCCGCTTGGTCCAACTTCACACCGTCGCTCCACGTCCTCAACGCCGGCTAAGTCTCGGGTCGGGTCGTACTCTCTCACCACCGTCATATTTGGCTTTCACACAGATACAGAGATAGTAGAAACAGAACAATAACAGAGCAGAAAGAGAGAGAGAGAGAGAGAATAAAGAGTAAAGAGTTAAGGACTTAGGAGAAGAGTGAAGAAGATAGGGTTTAATATATATATAGATAGAGAAGACTAGTGTGGAAATGAGACAAGTGAGGGGAAGATAGAGATGCATTTATAGAAACTAACTATCTATATATATAACGTGAGCTATAAGTAAAAAACGTTCAGAGAAGCTATTATATACATATGTGAGAGCTTATAGGATTTTGATTTAAAAGGAAAGAGAAATCGACTTTTTTTCCGGCTACTTTTTTATTTAATTTTTATTTATGATGAGTTTTAAAAAGTTGGGGAAGACGAGTAGTTCATGATTGTAAGAGGTTTTTAAAGTTCTTCTTCTCTCAATCCTATTTATAGTTTCTACAGTACCAAATCTTTTTTTGTTTTTGTTTTCATATAAATATATATAAAATATTAGTTGGTTCTAAATGATAAGGTAATAATATGTAACTGAGATTTTTCAAGGTATTAAGAGGTAAACTATTAAAAAATCTCTGAAAAAGCCACTTAAACTACGCAAAAGCGTATGATTTAAATTATGATTTATAAATTATTAGTTATACACAAAAAAAAAAAAAATCCTGCAAAAATGCAAAAAAAGAGATATGTATTAGTAGGAAATGAACGGAGTGAGAACGTTAGTCCGGCTTTTGTCTACGGTCTCATACTTGGTTACATCTCATTTTTGTTGAGTCATCTCAGTTTATTGTCCATGCCTGAATTGTATACTAGTACCAATCAAAGGTCACGATTCTATCATTTTATTAAATTAGACCATAATAATCTAAAAATTTTGAATTTTCTAAAATGATGCACTAACTCTAGTATAATACTAGAAGTAGTTTCTCTAGGTAAATTATGAAATAGAGTTAATACAGACAATAAATACGAAATTAAACCGCTCATAATTAGGGACGTTTAATTATATGTTCTCCACCAAAAAATAAAATTTAAAAAAAAAATAGTGGGGGGTGGCTTCAATGTTTTCATAATGATGATGAGTAAGAGGAGTAATGGTTGATTAAGACGAGCATTGATGTATGAGGGCTTGCCCAAAAGGAGGAGTTGTATGTAAGTGGGAGTGAGAAGTTGGAAAAATGGCGGCTTTGTCTGCGTTCTTAACTCATTATTATTCACATTATTATGGTTTCTTCTTCTTCTTCTAGTTTCCTTTGCCCGTAGATATAATAAATTCACACTTATTCATTTTACATCATCATCAGCTTTGATACACTGCACCATCTCCCAAGTAATCATTTGCTCTCAACCTCATCTATACTACTAGTCCCTAATTAATCATTTATTTTCTCTCCATTAATTGTCTGTCTATTTACCAAATTAAGATGTTTAAACCACGTAAAAGTAAAATACAAAACAATAACGTACCGTAAAGATTATTTAGAAATATGTATATAAAAAAACTCTTGTTTAAAAGGATCCTTGAGAAAAAAATATCTCACTAAAAACAACCGCAAGGTTCAAACACACGATTAGGCTAAAAGAGACGAACGAATCCACTTAGAGGAAAAAGCCAAATCCCTAAAGGTCATATCTATCGTATTCCTCCCAAGGGGTAGTTTAGTCATGCAATGAAATACATGATGATGATGATATATAGGTTATATACATGACAAAATGATTATCATTTGTTACGTATTCCTTTATTGTCACTATAGGCATCACTAATTAGAGGCTAGAGGATTGCACTTCAATTTTTATACTCTTTAAGCTGAAATATGAAAAATATCAACCGTCCTCTTAAGCTACTATTTTAAGTTGATTATTACACTCAATCGTTAGATATAGATATTCTAGTAGTACTACCATACGAAGGTAAACAATAATTCTAACTTTAATCTATATCTTAGTCATATGATAAATTTAGTCAGAAATTTGAAAGAATTAAAACCTGTTTATTGGTGTAATTTAGAAATAGTAAGCCTCAATTTTTTACCAAATCTACCGTCAGCATTCTTCTCGAAGAATATATATTTATAAATAGTTCCACATGATATATATATATATTTTTTGTGTATAAGTGGAAACTAGGCAAGAAACACCACACGCACAGAAAAACGATAAACAATTATAAACAGAAACAAATTAATAAGAATAAACGGCACACTTGATGAGGACCCTCAAATTATAGATAACATATAGTTCAGGTTGGTAGAGAGGATTAATTTTTCTGTACTGATTATGACATTTTCGAGCACTATATATATATTCGTTACAACTTACAAGACCTAATCAAATATTTTAAAATTTTCATCATGTCATTATCATATATATAGACGTGTAAACAACATATTCACTATGTCTTTTTTTAGACGTATCGAGTTAACCCAGTCAACTCAAACCACTGTCTTTGTTCTATTTAAATTGGAGTGTAAACATATTCACTATGTTTTCTAAAAATATTCTGTCATTGGAAACTCAAATTCAAGGGTTGGTCAGCTTTCTCGTTTAATTACATAATAATGTTTGTTATAGTGTAATCGGTTGAACTATCAACGATTATAATTATTTGATTAATAATACATGTATTTTGTAAATTTATTATCTTTAATATCGTGGTTTCAATAAACACTTAAGTAGACACCAACATAGTGATGATGTTTTAGTTGGCTATATATTATATATATATATATATATATATAATATATGCTCACCAATAAATATATATTCAGAAAGAGTTTGGCCAAACAAGATTACTAAAGTATAAGCTTAATGAAAGATCCATATAAACGTTTTTTTATGAGTACTACTGTTGTTTTTTCGGCTTTTGCCAAGTACTTGCGCATTATGCCGGAAAGTGACTATATATCTTTAGTAAATCAAGAAGTGTTCACTAACAAGTAACAATGTCTTTTTTTCTTCTTCTTATTATTATTTGAATTTTGGAGCCTTGAGTAGGGTTTGTTTCTGTAATCCGAAAGGTCCATGCAATTACTTGAAAGGTCACTGCAACATATAAATTATCAACAACTTGCAACTACTCGCATTCGTCTCTTCGACCATTATAAAAGAAAATTACATTCGTCTCTTGGTACATTAGAATTTAAAGCTCATAGAAAAAAATATTAGTATTATAGGAGAGGATCCATCCACTCATACTTTGAAAGATAAGATAGTTATTAAACAGAGCACTTTTTTCGTCTTGGGTTTCTATTTCAATATTGGAACTTTAGAGCCTTACTCATAAAGTCATAATACCAATAATATGTGTGATAGAATATAGTACAATTTTCTACGCATTGCGTCGTTTAGGTACCTTAATTACATCGTTTTCGTTTTGGATTTTGACAAAAGAGCTTACGTTATGACATTTATCATAAAGCATAATCGCAATTAGACAAATGTAACGGTACGTAATTCCAGGCATTTGTTTCCATTTCACCATACTTTACAATAAATGATGATATAGTATCTACTATCATACATATTACATTTTTATGTCTGGTTACATTATCTATATATGTTAAGTGTGTCCGTATGATTAAACTATGATTTTAAGGAACGATGTGGAACGTTTTATACCATGGACCACATCGTATCGCTAAAAGTGTCGAGTAATTAGCAGACAAATTATTGTCTTCTTGGTCAAGATTAACTTGTCTACAATTCAACACGTATCATATTATTATGCAAATACGATATTACCTGTAAGAACTAGACAAATCATAAGATCACACACAAAATCATAAGACAAATTCCTCGAAGACATCAAAATGAGACGATCTTGATGTGTTATTACTTATTATTATTATAACCCCGGTCCATCTCTACGTATGGTACTAATATTTTAAATTCGATTTCTCATACGGTTTATTTCAAAATTTTAACCCTAATTGACTATACAACACATTTATCTTTTTTTGTATTTGACAGAGGACAGCTATTATTGTAGGACCGTTGCAATACAATATCGCATTCACATATATTTTCATGTCGTTTTTGGACATTCCAAGATAATATGTTTAGTTTTGTTTGACAGTTTATAGAATAGGTCCATTGAGCATGTCTTTTTTGGGTGAGCATTCTCTGCAACCCTATTGAATATTAAATATCAATATTAAATATCATATTTAACTATGTAATTGTCGTGATTATAGTTCAGTAATTATATATCATCATCGTAATGAAAATGGATCCGGAAAATTGCAGTATTTGAGGCGGTGAGGTTAATCTTATTATAGTCATTCTTGTGGTAACTAAGATACAGCCGTCACTAGTAAACAAGATCGGAGCTGAATATATTTGGAAGCCACAATGACGCACTAAGAGTTTAAACAGTGACACAAATGCAACAAACTTGCTTCATAACCATATCAAGTCCAATCTTGTTGACTCCGTTTTAATTTTCGTCTAATATGTTGTTTTAAATCAGAATATATTTTATTAAAAACATATACAACTAAGAGATTCGTTATTTGTCTTGTGAAAATATATAAGTAAGAGATTCGTTATTTCTCTTGCGAAAATATCACAATTGCTGATGACTAATAATATATGTACTAGTATTTGTTAGGGAAAAATCACAAATGTTGTAAAAATAAAGTCATAAATCAAAATACAAAAGGGAGAGCTATTTCTCATGCATGTTGACCCACAAATATATAACCAGAATCTAACTAAATTGATAAGACTAGACTTTAACTAGTGGATGGAGTGGCTCGAGGTGTGACGTGGGTTTGTTACGAACTTTCCAGAATTATGATTATTATTATTTCTTCACATAAGAAACTGTATCTTTATTTTAAAACAACAATTTATTTAAACAACAATTTATTTAAAATTTTGTCACAATGCGAAAAAAGCCTAGTCGCTAGCTCTCCTCGAAGGTCATTTGATCCATTTTAAATACTAACTTCATATCATTGTCCGTTATTAGTGAGATTATCTAGTAAACAATAGCAGTTATTTGACTAATGATCCGATCATCCACATGTTAATATAGTTCGTATAAACCTTGTATATGATGTTAGGTCTGTATGGACTCAGTAAATTATGTGTTTTGTTGTGTTAATTTCGTCGGAATCGTTTGTCCTACTTGGTGAACGTACGTATGAGTGTATCGGGATCCCATAAACCACGTGATGGTTATATATATCCGGCTTGGTGACTTAAACAAATTTCAACTTTTGCGTGATTAGCTTAGCTCACGAGAAAACCAATACATCAACTGATCAACCTAAGTAAAGGAACGTTGTTAAGACGATACAGTTGAGAGAGGGCTTAATAAGAGACTTAAGACCAGTCAAAGCCAACAGAAGTCAGACCAAATTTTTTGGTTTACCGACTTATGTCGGATAAGAGTAACTTGACGATAATGTCCTTTTGTGTATAAATATTATATATCTCCTATCTTTGTTGGAAAACTGTAAAATCCAGCTGTGAATGTTGCTGCGGGCACAGAGCGGCCGGGGCAGAGAGACACTAAGGAAGTGTCAATTCAAAACATTAATTTCACACTAACCTTTTTAATACTATTTGTTTGTTATATGTGTTATGAGATAATTTTTAAATAAAGTTTTCTTTTATTTATTAGGTACGGGCCTTGAAGCTCGGGGAGATCAATAATCATCACCAAAAAGTATATGCATGTTGCCTATCTATATCCTGAAACAACTTCTATACGTTTAGGTTCATGCATATATATCAAAATATGTCCAAAATATCAAATATGTCACTATACGATGGATACGATGGATAGATAATACAATCCAAAAAACGAGAGCATACGGTAGATAAATCTAATACTATTTTGTATATTCGAATTCTACTGATATGTAATCTTGGATTTTGGATAATATATATACGAATATAAATAAAAGTGTAAATATAAGTGTATGTGTAAGAGTGCATTATGATAGGGGGGAATGGTGGACGATAATTAAGAGTGCTTGAAATGACGTTTCATACAGAATCACGATGTTTGTGGCAGGAACAATCAGAGATCTACTATATACGAAATTCAGAGATTTGTGTAACTTTTTTTTAAAGAAATTTCCAATATACTCTTAAAATATCTACTAGCTAGTGATTATCTACTCAATTTCTTTTATTCACGAAATGCAAAGTTTGTCTATATCAAATTGGTCTGATCATATAGTCCAATTTTGTGAATCTAATAACACGACGTAAAATAATTTTAAAGTATAATCTAAATCTTTTTGGGTACAATTTGTATGAAAAACAAACACAGCTTGCCAAAATAAATATAGATTTAAAATTCAATAAACATTAAATATGTTTTCTCTAAAAAAAATGAAAGATTTTTAGAATATATTTAAAATTAAATAAAATATTAAATTTGTTTTTCTCTAAAAAATGAAAGAGTTTTTTCTTGTCATAAAAAAGGACCTAAGATTAGTTTAAATAAAAATTACATAATAAAGTGTTTTTTTGGCCAAAAATAAAAGTAAAAAAAAATGTTGGCAAAAAAGAAAAAGATTACATAAGAAAGTGTGCATAAATAAATAAAAGTGTGAATTGGACTTTGTTAAGGTTTTTGAATCTTATATGAAGAAAAAAAAAATTAGTCAAAGGAACAAGATGGGACTTCTGCTTGCAGTTGCAGGTTTGTTGTTTCGGTGCCTCTTGGCTCCAACTCGGAGCTTCCCCCTCGTCTTCATATTCCACAATCATCATATTATTGTACTGCCAAATAGTATTTGTCTATAACGTTTGAGAAATCAATAACCAAAACAATAACGTCGATAATCAGTAATTACAAAAAGAAAAAAAAATAAAATCATAGCGATCTGCTTATTATTAATGACTATAAACAATTTAAAAACGCATTTGTGAATCATTTTTTTTTTTTTTTGGTTTTAGTATTTGTGAATCATGCTATAGTGTCATATATTATCGATTAGAATATCTAGTGTTAGGGGATGTAAAATACTAAATATGTACATATCATTAAAGAGAAAAAAATGACTGTACATGAAGTTCTACAAATGCCAAGACATAAAAATATGCATTACGTATAGAGTTTACTAGTAGTATATAATATCTTTCGACTTGTCTTTCGCTACGGATGATAAAAGAGAGAGACAGGGAGCGATGTCTACTGACTACTGAGTTACAGAGAGAGCGATAAAAAGATTGAAGTAATAATACTCTAATACCTATAATATCATCGTCCTCAATGTCGTGACTCTCGTCTTGTCAAATCAAAGCCCATTCCATTATCACAATCATCAACCATCCATACACATCCACGACGCATGCATGTGTGTGTGTGTGTGTGTGAGCATGAACTTAAATGTAGACGACGACACAAGTTACCTCAGTACCGATACTCTCGTGAAAATGTTTGTCTTCTTGGTCTCTTTTAAATTTACATGTCGTAACCATGTTTAGCAATCCTTTGAGTCAACAGCTGGAGAGATTTACGGAAACTCTCTTCCTCAAACATTAATAATTACCGTTTTTAGCTGTTTTTCATCAAAATCTTGATGTAACACATCGGTGATTAGTTTATGATAAACCTTGTCTTTACATTAGTAAGACATTTGATTAGTATGTACTCTTATTATATACGTGTGTGGACAACAACGTCGACAAACAAAGATTATGTTTATATACTTTAACATTACGTATATAAATGACTATGTTGATATGTGTGAAAATAAATAATTGAATATCAGATTTTCATGAATCCAGGGAGTAGGGAGTATTATTTCTTCAATTTTAAAATAATAGTAATCAAAAAGTTTCCGACAGCTTCTAATCCTACACTAAAAAGACAGAGATTTATACTCATGCTTTCTATTTTACTATTGGATTTCGTAATGGATTTTTAGTGGGCTTATGGGCCTAAACGAGTATACTGCAGGTCCATGAGCATAATATGTCCTCTTCTTCGTTGTCAAATCAATGGAGCTTCCTTTGGTTCTTCATCTTCTTCTTTATCTCTTTCGTGTTTCTGGGCAAGCACCGTTTCGTCTTCAAATACCTGAATTTTCGTTTTCTTCTTCGGTTTCTCAGTTCATCGAGTATATTTTTCTTGCCACGCTTCAGTAGCTCCGTGTTTTGAAGTAGAGCTCAGGCCTATCAAGCTTCATTTGATTCCGGAAGTGACGAGAAGAGGTCCTGATAGAATTAAATTGGGTAACTTTATTATCTAAAAGTTCTTAGTTAGTAAATATATAGGTAGAACAAGGATGTCAAGGAATTTGGTTTGTGGATTTAATGATTTTTTTGGATCATACATGCTACTTACTATTATGTGCCCAGTTTGAAATTTTTAAGGGTGTGATGTAAAAATTGAGCTATTTCGATACCAAAGTTAAAGCATTTACTTAGATAAATGGTGCAAATTTAAACCCTTTTGTGTGTGCCTTGTGGTTTATTGAGTAGATTTTTATACCAAAGTTGTCTTTTTGTTATCAGAGCATATGCTTGATCAATACAGACTTGGTATTAGTTTCTAAGTCCAATTTCTTTTGTAGAAGCTAAGATGAAGAAGAACTTGGATTCTTTGTAAGCTAAGATCACTTGTTTTTCCAAACTACATGAAAAAGGACACTAATGATTCTTGGCGTGGTTTGTGTTTGTCGGTAGGAGGAGCATAGTAGGCCAGAACAGTGTTTTAAGAAGAGTCACATAATGCAGTTTCTTTTATAGAAGCTAAGATGAAGAAAAACTTGGGTTCTTTGTAACTGGATGTTTCCCATCATATGTGCTCTTCAGAACATCTGGTTTCCTCAGTATGCGAGGTCCTGCTGGAACCTTTCGAGTTTTTTTTTTCCGTTGAATATCCTGTATGAACATAATAAGCTAATCGTTAAATGTTTGGCATCTGTTTTTGCCTTCCATTGTTAGGTAATTGATGTAAAGAAGAGGGTGAAGAACAGAGCAAGCTCAAGTTTTCAACCTAAGCAGTAACCAAAGGCCTGAAATGTAATGTCAAACGTGATCAAAGATGGCAGTAGTGGGTATTGCAAGCGTAGCAACGACATTTGGAGAATCGTCTATGCTCTATGAGAGTAAGAGGTGAACCTGTTCAGTGTTGTTCACACCATAATGTCTTGGTCAATTTTCTCTCTAGTTTTAATGTTGTGATTAACTAGGTTCTAGTTTTATGTTACAGTTTCCTCCATTTTCTCTTCTTGGTATTGTCCTTTGCAGCCTCCTTGGAAACCCTTTCCCATTATGGTGTTCCTTCTTCAATCTACAAGAGCATTATGTAAGAATCCTCACGAGTTCAGAGGTTAGTACCATCATATTCACTTCTGAAACACTGTTATAGCCTACCTAATGTAAGTGACCTCACAAACTTTACAAAATCTTAATTTCATTCTCAACTGGGATATATATAAAGATGAATTTTTTTTTGTCTATAAGAAGAAGAAGCAGAATAAAAGATTTTGCTAATCATCTCACGACCTTAGTTATTATTCTACATTGTCACAAAAGTTGTTTTCAGCAGAGAAGTCGTCATTGAAAGGGGAGAAGTAATAATAATAGAGGAGGAAGCAAGGAGCTATATCACTACTATTTCATTATTTTTAGCCAATCAGAGCGCTCTATTTCTCACCCACTCTCACCAAACGCGCGTTGCGCGAGTGTCTACGATTCCTGTGTGCTATAACCCCCAAAATCGCTTATGGTGTAACAAACTCGCTTAATTCTTAAAAACCCATCGCGTGTGACTTCATTTTCTTCTTTTTCTTTTTGTTTTCTTTTATCCCCTCAAGCCTTATTAATTATAATTTAAACCGAGCATAAATCAATTGTAACTCCAAAACCATGTAAACCTTAACCGAAATTGTTTGCAAGTGTACCCAAATTCTAGAGATTTTTAGTGTATGCTGCTATGGTGTTCGACAGAATGCCGCTGAGAGATTTTGTTTCTTGGAAAATGATAAAATTCTAGAGATGTTTGTTACAGAGGAAAGGTGGGAATCTCATGGAGCTTCCATGTGGTTTAACACAGTACAGTTGTTGGGAAGCCACAAGCTGCTCACTCGGAGAAGGACCCAATAATACCAATGTTCAAGGAAGGAGATGAAGGTTTCACAGTTTAAGTTGGAGCTTCAGGGTTTGAAAGCAGTGGAAGGAGAAGAGCCCCCAACTTGAATTCAAGGCTTAAGGGTCATTGGAGTCATAAGCTTGTGATTAAAGGTACACGTCCTCTTTCTACTGCCTCTTCTTCAACGTCCAGATACGTTTATGCTTTATGTTCATGTTATGTATGGAATGACGAAAACTTGTGACTGTACATGTGTATTTAACTTCTTTCAAACATGCATCATACTAGTTGGCTCATCTTTGTAACATTTTGACTGTGGGGTATTTGAACTAGCATTAGAGGATTCTGTCTTGTAATCAATTAGACATAATCTAGTGCTTTAGCTTGTGGCTCTCTTTTATATTGTTGAGCAAAATCTTTTCACTTTGTGTGGCAGATTCTGATGGTCTTCAAATTTGCAACACATTAAAGGAATTTTGACTGGATTATATTAAGATTTACTATTTTACATCTGACTTGACTTACACATTATACATGTAAAGTTTTCTTATCATCAAGATCAGCATAGTCTCCGTATGATAATGATCAAGATCACTTATTATTCCAAACTAGATGAAAGAGGACACTAATGATTCTTAGCGTGGTAAAGGAGAAGCAATATAGTTTTTGTTTGTTGGTAGGAGCATAGTATGCTGTCTCAAAAATCTGTTTTAGGTAGGCCATAACATACCAGTGTTTTAATAATAAATACATAATGTAGTTTTTATAATAAATATCAAGCATATGCTTGATTATACAGACTATGATTTAGTTTCTATATCTAATTTCTTTTGTACTAGCTAAGATGAAGAAGAACTTGGATTCTTTGTAATTGGAATTTTTCCATCATATGTGCTCTTCAGGACATCTGGTTTCCTCACAATGCGAGGTCCTGCTGGAACCTTTCGGGTCTTTGGCCGAATATCCTGCATAAACATAAGCAAATCATCAAATTTTTGGCATCTGTTTTTACCTTACATTGTTACGTAATTGATGTAAAGAAGCAGGTGAATAACAGAGCAAGCGCAGGTTCTCAACTTAAAGTAGTAACCAAAGGCCTGTAATGTATTGTCAAACCTGATCAAAGATGGCAGTTGGTATTGCAAGCGTAGCAACTGCATTTGGAGAATCGACTATCCCAGATATTCTTCCTTCGCACGGACAGCATGAGAGTAAGAGGTATACCTGTTCACACCATAATTTCTTGGTCAATGTTTTCTCTAGTTTTAATGCTTGTGATCAATTTGGTTCTCAAAGAAACTTCCAGTTGGAAGGATCAATACCTGTTCTTTTGAGTAACCAAATTTGAAGAGATAGTCTATAGCGTTGAGAATTGCTCGTTTGTAAGCTACAGTTGCATCAAGGTAATGTTGTTTCCCGCTCTCATCGACACTGATACCCTCAAACACCAGCCACTCTGAGAATCTCGGTTCCACTGGCCCTATCTCAAAGATTGGGTTTACATGGAGAGGGGTCGGTCCCATTGGAGTAAGGTATTCCTGCATCCCGTTTCTTATAATTTCACACCTATTGATAAGTTACAAAATAGTGTCATAGTTTTGAACTTAACACTGCACTAAAACAATAACATCTAAGAAAAATATATGGAGTAGAATTTCCAGAAAAAAGTGCAATTAGGAACGTATGCACATACTTAAGTTCTAGAAATCCACTCATCTCAATGGCTCCGCAGAATGAGATCTCACCATCACCTTGTGAGAAATGCATGTCACCTGTGCTTAGATTAGCCCCTTCTACAAACACTGGAAGATATATTTTAGAGCCTCTGCTTAAGTTCTTTATGTCACAGTTTCCTCCATTTTCTCTTCCCGGTATTGTCCTTGCAGCCTCCTTGGAAATTCTTTCCCATTCTAGTGTTCCCTCTTCAATCTACAAGAGCATTATGTAAGAATTCTCACGGCTTCAGAGGTAAGTATCATCAGATACACTTCAAAAACACTGTTATGACCTTGGTAAATTTAGTTTTGGTATGTAGCTTACATTTCCGAGGAGGCATCCTGTACTTGTTGGTAGGTTTGCCAGTGGCCGCTGATGCACAACCTCGCATAATGTTAGGGATTTGGGACCACTTTCTTCTAATTGTCTTTCCCTTTCATTCCAAATTCTCAGGAGTTCTTTTGATGGTGCAGTGCCAATGATTCCTGGGTGTGTCAAACCCGGAAATCGTACTCCTGCCATGCCGTTATGTGATGATATGAGCATGTGTATGATCAACATAACACCTCATAACAAAGAAAGCTACATGGTTATGCTACTAATTTGCTTGACAAAAAAGCATGATGATGTTATGCTCTAACCAGGAATTTGAGGAGAGTAGGCATAAATCCCTTCAAAGTACCAAATAGCTTTGGTTGCACAAGGGAAATGGTCAGTCAAGAACCCACCGCCATTCTCTCTATCAAACGAACCAGTGAAGCCCCATTCATCTCCTGGAAGAGGACCCAAGTTGCATATCTCAACGGCAAGAAGATCACCGGGCTTGGCTGCAACACCATCCTCATCTACAACGTTGATTGGCCCACTCAGGTAATGAACCTGCATACTCACCAAAAAAACTTATATCTATATGCAATTCATGTTTGTACTCATGTTTCTTACTAAGCCCCCTTACAGTAGAAAGGTCTATGCTCTTAATATCGCCAGCAGAATCATCATCTTTCACTGCACCTCCCGTCCAGTCAACCATTTCCACCCTAAAGAACTCGCCAGCCTTGACCTCTGCTACTGGTGGTATCTCAGGATGCCATCTATTATGAAGTGGCTTATTCTGCTGCCATGGTTTCTTATTCAAATCCACATTCACCACTACTCTTGGACTCGGCGGAGCCATCAAACATCAAAACTCAATATGCAGGGTGAGTTGACTGAGCACTATTCTCTGTTTCTATGTATCTCATCTTGTCCTTTGTATTTTTGTTTGTCCTTGTTTCAGCGAAGAGAGAGGTATCATTGGCTTTGGCAGATTCTTTATCTATCCACAACAGTAATAAAGATTGCACCATTAACCATCTCGTAAGACTTTTTCTCTTTCTAAAACTGTGAATTTGTTTTTATCTTAACCAAGTGGATAGTATCATAAGATACATGTGTCTCCTTCTCTGTGTGTGGCAGTGCATGGAAGACAAAAAAGTTGAAAATGACATTTTCTTGACTTATATTACGAAAAGAGTCTAGTCAGAGACTCTTAACCTCAGGCGATCTGAGTAATCTCCTCCGGGGAGCCAAACTAAACTTTGTGGAGCGGCTAGTCTTTGCTTCCATGGCTTCTTCCTCTTCCTGGTCAAACATAATAAAACAGGATTCCCTACTTACTCATTCTTGCTGAAACAGAGGAGATGCTATGAATACGCATCCGACAGATTTTGTCCAAAAAATCTAATCGAATCTTCATTTGACTTAATTTTACCTTTTTGTTATTGTGTTGTTTCTTTTGAATTCTGTGGTTGTGGCTTACACGCTTGGCGTCATCAAGTTTTCTCTTGGTAGCATACTCTCATACTATTAGTTAACTTTTATTATTGGTCATACATTATTCACATCTAAAATAGCATCGAATAAAAGTGGGAAAAATAAAAAAATCCATGTTGATAACTGATATATAAATGACATAGCATACAAAACATTACAAGGAGAAAGCGTGGCTACTGGTGGTGATTGTCGTGTGTGTGTGTGTATAATTTATCAAGGAAATACAAGTTTTACACTTGGGGCTTACAAGTTTTTTTAGGCTAGAGACTTCACACATCTGGAATGGTTAGTGCTAGTCATCCAAGTTTCTAATCATGTAACATTAAGGAGTGGATTAGTCTCTAACCTTTTATGAAAAAACGCAAATTAGATATAATAATGATGGAATGGCCAATAAAATATTGTGATTTGTAACTTTGCATGTAACATTCCAGCTAGTTCGACTGTACGGAAGACAGAAACTGAAAAAGCTATTTTGGATAAGTATGCAACGTCAGAAGCGACAGCAACAGTCGTAGAAAGAAAAAAATGTAAAATTTTCCTTGTAAAGCCGAAAGCATGATACACTTCCAGATTTTCTTCCTGACCATTACTAGAAATAAAAAGATAAAGATAAAGAAAAAAAATTACATGTAGATGTAGTAGTTTAATTGCATGTTTAATATAGTCATATGGTTGATATGATATAATTAAAAAAAAAAAGTCAATATGTTATATGAACAAACAAAAAAACTTGTACATATAATTTTTATCAGCTAAAGTCATTTATACTGATATATTCCCAGTGCATATATTTTTTTTTGTTTTTTCGTATGTTCTACATTATCTTATTTATGTTTCATTTTACACTGCTGGTTACTATTAAAATTGTCAACCAAATACTTTGAACCAGTTTCTGTCACCATGCAGGCCATTAAATTATGATTCACTTTGCAGGTAGTAATGTCATACAATAATAAAGGTAATACTTTAAGTAGTATAGACTTATTCCGACAAAGTGTGGAAGATGATGTTAGCTTAAAAAAAAAATCTCTAATTAGGTCAGAAGTTTTGGGACGCCCCTGATGAAAATTGCATAAGCAAAGTAACTTTTCATCTGTATATATCTTCTCTACGCCGCAGATATATATGGTTTTAAAAATTATAAGATAAAAGAGAACAAAAATTATACTATAAACGTACGAGAGAGAGAGAGAGGGACACACGCAGAGAGAAGAACCTTTGAATGAGGCGAAGGGCCAATAACGGCTTTTGTAGTTCCAAGAGATTGCAAATACTTATGTTGTGTCGTAGGGATGTAGAGTCAAAGAGTCAAGTATATACTACGAATAAGTTAAGAGTATTTTGTACATAAATTCTGATTTACAACATATGGAGACACATGCGTCTGTGGGAAGACGACGAGGTCATGACTCATGAACACCACGTTCCTCTCTAGTTAGTATTTACATATTGATAACATTTTATATTTCCAAAGTGATTGGAGGAATATGAAACGTAGACTGATCATGCAAGTTACACAATTGAGCAATCTGGATACACAACATGTGTATACATAGTGTCCCCATTAATCATGAGATAAACATGTATATGAGCAACAAATCAGTTCGTGTAGAATTGTTATTCATTCATATGGTATTTGGCTGATCTTGTTGTGTCATGTCTAGCTACTAGAGAATACTAGAAGAAGATGTTGCAAGATACCCAAAGCACTTGGTCCTCACTTTTCCTTTATTATAAGTTTCTTTTTTTAACACTTTGTCTTCTTATGACTTCCTTATTAATTTCAGTATCTTTTTGTATCGATAATAATATCCTCCAACAAATGATTAAAACCCTAACAATATAACGTGATTCATTCACCACCGAACCCATCGCATCATCAAGTAACGCACACAATATCAACCAATGAACTCACTATCATGTCTTTCACATTTATTTTTTTAAAAACCTAAAACATCCCATAAAAATACAAACCACTTGAACCAATAATTTCCCCTAATCCACGTGCACCCCATCGTCTCCCTGACGTGAGATTTGTATATATCTTATCAAAATACTACTTGCTTAGTAGGAGTATTCTTTTATAGTACAATTGTACTTAGTGAACCAACAAAATTTAAAAAGGAATAAGAAAAAGAAGAAGAAGAAGAAAGTAATAATAATAAAAGAGGAGTCTGAGTCAGCGACAAGTGTTCGCGGAGAAACGGAAACGCTCTCTATCTCTCTCTCTCTCTTCCTCCAATGCCAATACCTATACCTTTGGAATCCCTCCCAAACGCTGTCCTTTCCTAAATTCTCTATTCTTTTTTCAAAATACCAATATATATTTTAAACCATCAACTTACAAAATTAACTGGTTTAATCGTATTACACTATGTACTGTTCTAACCATCATATTGTTTTATATCTTATCAGGCATTCTTAAATACCCTAAGCGGCTAAATCCAAAACTTTTATGAGCTCTTTTTTTGTTTTGCCTTTCCAATAAATTTGAAGTAAATAATATTATGTCTTGTACAAAGGTGTTGATTATAGTAGAATAATGGAAAACAAAGGACAAAGGAATAAAAAAGAAACACAAGTTGGCACACTCTCTTTATTATTCACTCGCCTCTATAAATCCAATCTATCCTCTCTCTTCTTCTTGAAACTTGTTTGTTTCCTCTTTCTCTCTTCGTCTATATTTCGATCAAAAACCTGTTTTCTTGCCCCTAAATCCCAAAATAATCCATTCTTAACTAGTTGAGTTTCCCAAAAGTTTGGATAAATCTTCTCATATGCGATAATAAGTTTTTATAATTTTGGAGAAAATGAGTTGCAATGGATGTAGAGTTCTTCGAAAAGGTTGCAGTGAAACATGCATCCTTCGCCCTTGTCTCCAATGGATCGAATCCCCCGAGTCACAAGGCCATGCCACTGTCTTCGTTGCTAAATTCTTCGGCCGTGCCGGTCTCATGTCTTTCATTTCAGCCGTACCTGAGCTACAACGTCCTGGTACGACTTCTTTTCTTATCGTCTACATATAACTCTATCTACCTTAAGTTCGAAAAAATACGACATATCCTTGTGACTGTGACACTAGTACAAAACATTAGGTTACAAACTCGTCCGATCTATACAACCTTTAATGTTTTGCTTTTTGTTTGTCCAGCTTTGTTTCAGTCGTTGTTGTTTGAAGCGTGTGGGAGAACGGTGAATCCGGTTAACGGAGCGGTTGGTATGTTATGGACCGGGAACTGGCACGTGTGCCAAGCGGCGGTTGAGACAGTTCTTCGCGGCGGGACTTTACGACCGATCTCAGATCTTCTTGAAACTCCGTCGTTGATGATATCCTCCGATGAGTCTTCCGCGATTTTGCACCGAGACGTTTCAAGAAACGGAAACAACCAAAACCACCGCCGCTTCTCCATCTCCAGATCTAAAACGGAGATGAAAGACTCTTCGGTTAACCGGAAACGTTTCAAGTCCGATTCGGATCTCGATCTCCAAGTGAACCATCAAGGTTTAACCCTAACCGGTTCGGCTGTACCGGTTCCTTTTGTTCCTCCACCACCTTTTTGTAAGGCGGTTAACGGTGATCGTCCGGGAAGTCCATCGGAGGAGTCTGTAACGACGTCGTGTTGGGAAAACGGTATGAGAGGAGATAATGAATACAAAAGAAACAAAGGAGATAAAAAGTTATTAAACCTGTTTGTTTAAAACCGGCGACGCGCAAAAACACTTAAGATTTTGAGAGGCTCTTTTCTAGGGTTTTTTTTTCTTTTGGTTTTTGTTTTTTGGGGTTGTGAGTGGAATGGATTTTTTAGTTAAGCCGCGTAATTATTGGCTAATTATTAAGGACTTCTCTATCGAGAAATATCATAAAATTTTGGGAATAAAATTTTCTGTTGGTGAGATGCATGGTTTTGCTACACACACTGTATAAGTATCGAAAAGTGTTACATGTTAGGAAAAAATATTTTCCGATATATAATTTGACGTACATATGCAATTACTATCTAACTTATATGGTAAAATGTTACGTGTGGATATCAATTGTTGTAACTGTATTCATTGAATACTTTTTCTTCATCCAATCAGTAATTTTTTAAGCTGTTTATAGATTTGAATTATGTTCAGACATAACGACGTCCGTAGTACAAATTTGCTATAAAACAAGCTTGCATTAATACCTTGTGTGTACTTTGAAAATACGTAATAAAATAAAAAATAAAAATAAAATTTGTTCCCCGTGGTTCGACTTATAAGTTTGTACAAGGATCCTATACGAATAAAATCCAATAAAGAATTGACACTTGATTTGTAGAAGAAGCAAATCGATGAGTTTGGTTCCAAATTTCCAGGTGGGATTAGTACTGTAGTTGCGAGTATTCAAATATTGATTTGAAATTATAATTAAGATTAGTACTGTAGTATAGGTCTTCCCGGAGAAGACGGCTTTTGGATAATGCAAAGAGCCAAATCTCCTCACCAATTTCGTTAGTAGTATTATACACACACACAAAAGCTCTTTATTATTATTAAAAAAAAAAAAATCAAAATCGTTTGTCATAAAGATAGAGGAATTTCTCTTTTGTGAATACCAAATTTATGTTAAGGAAATACGTATAGTTAAGTGGTATGTATAATTTTCAATCTCTTTCAAGTAGACGTTTAGCCAATCATAAGCAAATTAGAAGCAAATCATAAGAACATTAGAAGCAAATCAGAAGCAAATATAAGCAACAAAATAAGAATAAATGATAAAAATATATATATATATATATATATATATATATATACAATTTTAGATCATTGGACAAAAGTAGAGAGACATATAGCCATTGTTATAATCAAATTAAATTTAATATAAAGACATATAGTATATAATATACCGATAAGAAGCAACAACATAAATACATATAGTATATATAATATAAGAACAAAAACATCATTGTATTGATAAAATTAAATTTGAATACAGTGTTCATTCGTCAGAAACATCAAGGTAATGATTTCTTGCATAAAAATGGTAAAACAATACCACCACTACCGTATGCTATTGTATGTTTTTCTTGATAAATTACGGTTACACGTCACTGCTCATGAAAACGTCCTTTTTTTCAAAACCGATAAATAAATAAAATTTCTACCAAAAAGGACCCATCTACCACAAAAATACATTGGAACTATATTATGGGCCTGGGCCTTGCTGAAGGTATTTTGGGCATTACTATTTAAGCATGGCGGGAAATATAGGATCGATTATCGCGTCCCTCACCCGTGGGCCGTGGGTTTCTGTTTCTCGTAGAATCGGTGGAAAACATTTGCACAGTGGGCCACTCCCACCCTCTGTGATCCTGCATAATAGCAAAACTATCACTGCTTGAAAAACACGATTTTACCCACTTCGCAACAAATTAGTCTATAGGAGATTTAGACATTTTATAGGGTTATAAGTTCGAGCAATTAATGGCACCAGATTAACTTTACTTTTCTAAAATATTACAAATTTTTATTTTTATAAGTGTAAAACTTATTTTTAAAAATTTAGAGTATAGTTTTTATAGGGAGAGGGTTAAGTGTTTAGAATTTTAAAAAACTAGTTTTCAATGTTAAAAATTTAGTTTCAGTTTTGTGATAGTTTTAGAAAACAAATTTTTTAATTTTGAAAAAAAATCAAATTAGTAATATTTACTAAAATTGATAAAGTACAAAATGAACCGAAATAAACAAAATCTACAACAGATATTTTCTATGGGCCTGGGCCTTGTATCTTAGAACAAAAAACGTTGAACGTTAAACTATTGTAATAACATTTAACAAATGTCTTGTGGCAGAAGTAACCTATAAAGTCATAATCTAACAAGTTACTCTTAACGCGTATCATCATTGGGACTAAAATCATGCATCTCTTGATAAAATATTATATAATACTTTTATTACCTTCAAAATTATTCTTAACTTTAATATTACAATTTAGGTTTTGCGATAAACTGAAACCCAAAACCAAGATTTATTACAATTTAGCTGAACAAGCTTCGTGAGACGACCCATCATATATGCCCAATTAATACAACTGAACCGAAATAAACAAAATCTTAAAACAGATCAATATTTAAATCAATTGAAAACTCCACAATCACGACGGATATTACCATTACTACCGGTTTTAACACCAACACGACCAAGCTTGATCATGGAGTTAACAAAAGCTTGGTTAAACAGCTGTGCATTACTAGCCCATAAGTCAACGGTTGGCTTTGACCGACGATCCGTGAATAAGACTTGATCAGACGTGAACAATCCTTTTCCTTGCTGCAAGTTCTTGTAGTAAACGTTGTCGAATTGTCTTGGAGTTGTTGGGTCCATGTTTATAGCCACTCTTGGATCTATGTTTTGAGGACAAGATGCTTTTAGCTCTGTCACGTAATCTTTGTTAACCGTGGGATCCACTTTCGTTGTCTTGTTGAAACTGTATATCCGATTGAACACTTTTGTGCAATGCGCGAATCCTAGTGTGTGCGCCCCTTTTAAGATCAAACCAAACCAAATTACAACCAGAAAAATTAAACGAGTTTAACCGAGATTTAACAAAATACATAACCTTATCAAGCTAAACCGATATATTACCAATTTTGAGTCACTACTGCGTAGCTAGGTTCGGTCTGAATGATACTATTTTTGATAGAGAAGTACGTAGTTCAACACTTACCGGAGAGAGCGACCATGTCGTTAAGGCTAAGACCATTTTTGGCGAAAAGTGAAGTGAGTTGGTTGACATCGTCCGTCGGATGCGGCAACTTCCCTCCGACGCTAGCAGCCGTTGACGATAGACCATCTAGCCTTCCCAATTCCACGTCATATTTTGGTCCACCCGCCTATATTGAATTTAATATTTACTAACTTACAAAATAAAATGTTTTTAATTTAATAAAACACGCTTATTACATAAAATTAATTAAGAATGAGTTACTAACAAGATTAACGACGTCACGAGTGGCCATCGTGATAATATCGGCGCAAGAAACTTTGTTACGACAATTTGGGACGGCATCGAGAGCTTCTTTAGCTTTAATGACGGTGTCGAATCCATCTCCGGCCAACGATAAATTTTCCTCGTGATCTTTCTCCGCCTTATTGTTATCAGTTGACGCTATCATCACTGATGCATCACACCCCTATCATATTAACCAGTCAACCCATAAATTAGACAAAATAATAAAATAAAATTTATGCTAGAGAAGAAAAAGATCAAGAAGAAACAAAAAAAATTATCAAGAAAATAATATGTTTTACATTGACGAAGCAGTCGTGGAAATAGAGGCGGAGAGTGGCGGGGATGGTGGTGAAAGTTTGTTGGACTTTTTTCTGAACGGCGTTTCTGACGATCTGCTCGACGTTAGGGCAACTTCCGGCGTAGAAATCGCGACGGAGTTGAGCGGAGCCGAGGTTGAGTGTTAGAAAAAGAGAGAGAAGAAGCAACAAGAGATTCGTTTTATTATTCACCAAAGCCATGTTTTAAAATTATTTTTACTCTTAATATGTATGGACTGAGGGATCTTTATATATAAGTGCACAAGTAGCACCGGCCAGCTTGCATTCACTATATTTTAAAAGAAAAAAAGACTAAATACTTTCTAAGTTTTGGCATCATTTGATGGTTTTTTCTAACGACTGATTTTGAAGTATAATAATTTTTTGGGTTAGTTTAAAATATTTGATTAGTAGAATTTAATTAATAACTTTTCTAATGCAACTAGTTTATGTATTTAAAGAGTTCTTAAATGAACTGATCCGTTTTTGGTTTGTTGTAAATATCATACTATATATCGTTCTCTATCAATGTTGTGTGCGTATAGAGAGGGATAGTCTATATGAGGGAATAGAGATAGTGGTGGGGATAAATTGAGAGGGATGCATGCATAAGTTGATAACGATGCTTCACTTGTCATTCCGAATAATTGTGTTATAGCCACCTTGTATCTTTCTGAAATCTCAACTACTACTCCTGACTATTTTACCTTTTCCGTTCATATATATATTAGTTAACTAGTCTTATTAACTACGACAACCTTAAGTCTAACAAGTAATCCCCAAAAGTGATAGAACGACATCATAAAGATATAGGTCTCGTATCTTTTTTTACCAACCATACAATTTTTGAAAATACCGTTTTGTGACAAGTTATTTCATGAAGGATATACAACGTCTGAATGGAGGAAATAAACATATTATAAAACATGTATATATTTTCAGATCAATTGAAAGATCCACAATCACGACGGATATTACCATCACTGCCGGTTTTGACACCAACACGACCAAGTTTGATCATGGAGTTAACAAAAGCTTGGTTAAACAGCTGTGCATTACTAGCCCATAAGTCAACGGTTGGCTTTGACCGACGATCCGTGAATAAGACTTGATCAGACGTGAACAATCCTTTTCCTTGCTGCAAGTTCTTGTAGTAAACGTTGTCGAACTGTCTTGGTGTTGGATCTATGTTTATAACTACATTTGGATCTATGTCTTGAGGACACGACCTTTTTAGCTCTGTCACGAACTCTTTGTTGATTGTGGGATCCACTTTAGTTGTCTTGTTAAAACTGTATATCCGATTGAACACTTTGGTGCAATGCGCGAATCCTATTGTGTGCGCCCCTGTTTTTTTTAAGATGGAACAAAATTTAAATTAGTACCCGAACATTTTAAACCGAAACCAAAAACCATGTAAATGTATTAGAACATCATTATAGGGGTATCTTATAAGCTAAGATACCCCCTATAATGATGGTCTTATTACATAGATTAATGGGTATCTAAGATGTCACATCGAGTAATAATAGAAATTAAACATAACACATATAAAACCAACTTAAATCCTAAATAAACTCGGGTATATAGTTCAAGCTAAACCGAAATATTATCAATGTTAAGTCACTACTAACTAAGTTTTGTCCAAAAGATAGTAATGTTGGTTCTGTTTCAAAAAAGAAAGATTTTATTCTTGATCGAGAAGTAGTTCAATACTTACCGGAGAGAGCGATCATGTAGTTCAATACTTACCGGAGAGAGCGATCATGATCGAGAAGTAGTTCAATACTTACTCGTCCTGATCTCATAAGAGAATAAGTGATTCGCCATGTGACGTCCGAATTTTGATATCTCTAATTTACAAAGTTAATGAATTGAAGGTTATTTTTTTATTACAAACAATTGGTGGTGTAGTAGAGATATTATATAGCGACTGATTTAAGTTAGTATAGTCTGAATTTTTTAGACTAAACTCGATTTTTGTGAAGTATTTTTGATTGGAAGCGATAAGCCTAAATTGGATAGTATAATTTTATTTTAGACATAAGCCTTAAAATCTTTGTAATAAAAAAAAGTCTAAATTGGATAGTATAATTTTATTTTAACGCTTTTTGCAAATCTGACCAAACAAATCTCTATCTCACCACCAGATTTCAATGTTTTTCCATCCTCATGGAACCAAAGCTTTCCAAAAGGATGCAGTTGCTCTTTTTATTTTTTTACTAAAGCATAAATCTTTGTAATATGTAATATAGTTTATGTGAATTTCTACAATATTTGAGAAGAAAAAAATGGTTCTAAATAAATAATTCCACGTATCTTACTTCAAAAGATAAAGATTTATGTTTTAGTAAAAAAAAAAAAAAGAGCAACTGCATCATTTTGGAAAGTCTTTTTTGGTTAATTAATTATTCAGACACATCTACTATGACTCCGAATACATCTACATAAGACCAAAAGTAATTTATTTTGGTTAAGGCCTTTAACTTTAAACTAGGGCCGGGCTGGGCTTTTGTATTTTTTTTCTTTATGCATTTCAATAGAAAGCCTTTTTTCAAAAAAAAAAAAAAAAAAAGATTAAATGGATAGAAGTGAGAGTAATAATAATATACCGTAACAAAGTCATCTATACTATTATAAACGATTTGTATAGATCTTTGTAAATAAGTACGTAAAATATCGATGGTTTAAAAAAAATTATGCTATCGTTTAGCTAATTACTCTATGCCTGTATATTAAAATTATAGTCTAGTCAACATAATAAATGCCATCATATCCTACTATATATGTAATATCAGTCAAAGATTGACCAAAATTTTTATGGAAATAAAATTAAATCCATACATTTTTATTTTGCTAGTCAAGCAAACTCAATATTATGAGAAACTAAATATAGGAAGGGATCATATATCTCTATATATATTGTGCAGGTATTGAAAATTATTCAATCATATTTCATTCACACCCACAAGAAAAGAAAAGAGAAAAAGAAGAAGAAAAGAAACACTATACAAAAATGGCTTCATCATGCAAAAGTTTCTTGATTCTGTTCTTGTGTGTGACGGTTATCTTACACCCAAGTATGTTACTTATAAATCTAGCTTTTTCAATTTAAAGATACATGATATGCTCATATTTTATAATCTTAAATTTTTTATTTTTTTTAGGTATTACAGAAACTGTGGAAGCTGACGATTCACAAAGACATGGTTTTTTCGTTATTGGTTCTTGCTCAAAAATTCATGACTGTAATAAAAAATGCATTGAAATGCATTTCCCAAGCGGAAGATGTCTTAAAGAGACCCCCCACGCCACTGAGTTATCATGTGGTTGCTATGTATAATTAACAACGCTATCAAAATATTGGATTGTGAAAATGTTAAAGTCTTTTCAAATAATAATAATGATGTTATTAATTTTTTTTCTGGGATAAAACAATGATTTTTTTTTTACACATAAAGCGATCAAATATTGTCACAATGTAATAGAGAAACCAAATTGGTTGGAATGTAAGAATAATAGACAACATAATTGTTTTCTGGAATTGAAGTTTATGCCAAAATATATGAGATCTTCACATTTGTTGCCTTCTCTTGAAATCCAACTGAATCTGAGATTTTCCAATCTTGAGCACCACATCTTCATTTCTCCTATCCAGTTTAAAACAATGATTTTAATCATTTTATCTTGAAGTACAGTAAAACCTCTATAAATTAATAATGTTGGAACAACGATATTTTATTAATTTATAGTGAAATTAATTTATCTAATGTAAACTAATAATTATTAATTTATAGTGGTATTTTTAATTTTCAAATATTTTAAAAATATGAATTGACACAATTTTACAAAAATAAGACTAATCTTTTAGATATTATAAATTAGATAGTAGTTTGAAAATGAATATTATATTTTTTTTAAAAGAGATTTGACTAAAAACATCTAAATTATTGATAAATTCACTTACAAATGATATACATAAATTCAAATGTATCTTAATAACCTCAATTGTTATATTTTCACATCTTATATGTAAAATGAATATGATGTAAATTTAAAAATTGAAAACGTAAGTCTAATTTGATTATTTTTATGGCTTGTGATGGTATATATTACAAAATTATTTTTTAAAAATATACTAACATAAAATTATTTATTGAGGTGAACTCTAGGAGAAATTTTATGAGAAATTGATATCAATAACCTTTTTATGATACCCTCTTTTAAAAATACCCTCTTTTTTACCATTTTTATTTTTGCCCTCTCTTAATTTTTAATGGCTATTTTACCCCTATTTGAAAGAATATTCTTTCCCAACGGAAGGAATATTCCTTCAAAAAATTTTCCCCCCAAAAATTTCCCGCAAAAAAAAATTATTTTTTCAAAATTTTCCCGCCAAATTTTTTTAAAGGTATAAATCTTTGTAATATGTAATATAGTTTATGTGAATTTCTACAATATTTGAGAAGAAAAAAATGGTTATAAATAAATAATTCCCCGTATCTTACTTCAAAAGATAAAGATTTATGTTTTAGTAAAAAAAAAAAAAAAGAGCAACTGCATCCTTTTGGAAAGTCTTTTTTGGTTAATTAATTATTCAGACACATCCACTATGACTCCGAATACATCTACATAAGACCAAAAGTAATTTATTTTGGTTAAGGCCTTTAACTTTAAACTAGGGCCGGGCTGGGCTTTTGTATTTTTTTTCTTTATGCATTTCAATAGAAAGCCTTTTTTCAAAAAAAAAAAAAAAAGATTAAATGGATAGAAGTGAGAGTAATAATAATATAGCGTAACAAAGTCATCTATACTATTATAAACGATTTGTATAGATCTTTGTAAATAAGTACGTAAAATATCGATAGTTTAAAAAAAATTATGCTATCGTTTAGCTAATTACTCTATGCCTGTATATTAAAATTATAGTCTAGTCAACATAATAAATGCCATCATATCCTACTATATATGTAATATCAGTCAAAGATTGACCAAAATTTTTATGGAAATAAAATTAAATCCATACATTTTTATTTTGCTAGTCAAGCAAACTCAATATTATGAGAAACTAAATATAGGAAGGGATCATATATCTCTATATATATTGTGCAGGTATTGAAAATTATTCAATCATATTTCATTCACACCCACAAGA